CGCTACAGAAGCAGCCCCTCGCGATGCTTTTCCAAACAGGTTAACATTTGTAGAGAAGAGTCGTGATGGCGTATCGGAGTGTATGCTTGTTGAGTGCAACGCAAGTATCCAATACATAGACAAGAAGCAAACATGTATTACGATAAAAGGAACCGATATCGCAACTATCCGGCTCGATGGACGCCTCGGCAGGGCAATATACGATACGCAGTTCTATAATACCACTGAGGTCAAAATATATGGTAGGTACGACGTAACCAATGTGTTTGGTGCGTACGGTAGCGGTATCGTAAAGAATCTCGCGCTAGTTAGTACTTAGCTATCGAGTTTTAAAACATTCCATTGACTATTAACAATCATTACAAACTGTTATACGCATCTTTCTTATCCAGTTTGAGAAGCAGGCCACGTGCCAAGCCTCTTATATATTGCATATCACATACCTTATATGCTTGTGTTATATATCTACGGATAAGATCCACTTGTCTTTTTTCATAAATAGATGCAGCAACTTCAAGCCAATTCTTCAACAGCTTTATGTGTTCTTCTCGGTTAAATTCTACCGGTGTTACTGTGTCATTAGGCAAACATGACATGACAGACATAAGACCATCGCACCTGATTATACTTTTATTGAACATAATGTAGTTATACTCGGCGCGTTCATGCTCGACGAACCTAAGAGCGATGGACACTACACATAGCGGTTCTAACAAGGCTAGGCAGGTTGGGTCTGTAAGCTTTATTCTGCACATACCGCAGCCCTTTATGGTATCGTCCATCACATTTATTTTACCGTAGTTAGCACATGCCATGCTTACATCATTTATAGCAATAAGAGCGCAACGCTGTTGCGCTGCCGCGCACCTATATACCAAGTGTGTTATTGTGACCAGTCGTGAAACATGTTGACAACAGCCAGTAACCTAGTGCATGAAGATGGAATATGCGCCGCAAAATGCGGTAACCACTGGTTTGTAGATGGCACACTGGGAGACATGACATTTTCACCAGAAAATATGAAGGCATGCCTGTGCAAACTAGTCAATATACTTATGTCTTCAGGCTATCCACAGAGAATGTTTCCAGGAGACCAGATATTGTTTTGTTGCAACGGAGATGTCGAGATTGACTTGTTTGTATGTGGTGATATTATCGATATGGATATATACTTAACTAACATAAAAGAAACAGTTGTTGACATTATCGGCAACTGGAACGCCACTAAGCTGTTATATGCCATGATACAGGATAAATCAAGCAGGGACATGCTGATATTCGCCAGTGGTTATAGAGCCAAGATCGAGCTCGAACAAGCGGATTGCCTTGCTGGTACCATTGAACGCCTTGATGTCGTTACTATCAAGGAAGAGCTTCTCGATCGTCGCACCTCAGCTACATGTATGTAGTTCTGCGGAACGCAACGATGTTGCGCTCCTATACGGTATAGTACAGACAACTGCAACTTACGTTATGGACGAGCGCAGGGTACACACTCTTGACGATGAATTCATCCTACACAACGAACCTTACAAGTATGTACTGACAGCAGCTGCATTCCGTCATGTGGACCAAGAAGCCGATTATGATCTTGAGCTCTCGATGCATAGACTGCATACAAGCGGATCGAGATCAGTGCTGCGCATTTGCTGCACTGCCCAAGTCGACATTTCAGGAGAGACAGTAATGATTATGATCAGCTCTTCCGAGATGTTCAATGCACATCTTGACATGCAACGGGGTATAAAGATCTACGACCGTTATATCAGCAACAAGGGTATCATAGTTATAAAAGGAAGGTTAATTAACGGCAATGATACTGACAACTTCACTATCGACCATATCTCGTTTCCTCTTGACATGCCAGAAATCACAGCGTTCTCAGACAAGGTCGAGCACTAAAGTCTACCGAACAGCCATATAGTATGCGAGTGTTTTAAAAACTC